TTTTTTTTTGTCAGGAAAGAACCACAAAATGGGAAAATCTACCTGAAAACTCCTTGAGCTCCCCCCTTACTTCCCCTCTGCCCTGTGTCTGGTTTTGGGAGAAATGGGATTGGAAGGTTTGTGAAGGGATTTGGGGGACCAAAGGGCAGGATTGGAGGGTTTAAGGGAACAAGGAGGGGGGAAAGGAAGGAAAGGAAGAAGGGAGAAGAAAGGGGAAAAAAAAGAGGAAAGGAAAAAAAAGGAGGAGGAAAGGGAAACCAGGGAAAGAAAAGAGGAAAAAGGAAAAGCAGGGGAAGGGGGAAAAGGGAAAAAACAGGGAAAAAAGAAAAAGGGGGAGGAAAGGAAAACTAGGGAAAGAAGGGAAAATGAGGGGGGAAAGGAGAGAAAAGGAGAGAAAAAGAAAAACAAAGGAAAAAGGAGGAAGAAAAGGAAACCAATGAGGAAGGAAAAAAGAAAAATGCAGAAAGTTGAGGGGAAAAAAGGGGAAAGGAGGAGGAAATGAAAAAAGGGTAAGGAAATGAAAAAGTGGAAGAAGAGGAAAAATGTAGAGGAAAGGAGCAGAAATAAGGAAAAGGTATAGGAAAGGGAAGAAAGATGAAGAAATGGAAAAGCCAAAAGGGGATTTGGGTTTTAGGGAAAAGAGAAGAAAAGGGAAAAATGAAGCAAAGGAAAGAAAAAAATGGGAAAAATAAGGGAAAAACAAATGACAAAAAATAGGAAGAGGAAAAGGGATAAAAGGGGGAAAGAAAAAAGAGGAAAAAGGAAAGGAGATGCAAAAGTACTTTGGATGGTGGGGGAAGGCATGTGGAAATACCCACCCCCCAAGCTGATTTTGGGGTGAGGTGCACTAAAAATCAGATTTTTGAATAAATGGAATGAAAATAGTGAGTTTGAGGATAGCGTGAGTGAGAAGAAATGATTTTGGGAACAAATTCAATAAAACACTATTTTTTTGAATGAGCACAAGAATGCAACCCACAGATTTGGTGTGACTTTTATGTCAAGAAATGGTGAATATTGGGAAAATTCAAATTTCAAAAAATACGAGAATTTGACTTTTTCCTTACCTTTACACCCAGAGCATCATGGACAGCAGCCTGGGCAAAGCAGACGTGCTGAGATGGTTCTGGATTGTTTTGTTCTGGGGTAAGTCAAACAAGGTGGGGAAATGCCCCAAAATGTGCAAAATTCCCCTGAAATAATCAATTGGCTCAATGTAAGGGTTTTCCAGCCCAAAAGGATTGCCTAGCCCCAAAGCTCCACCTTCTGCCCAGGGAATTAACTGGGATTTCATCAAATTCACAATTGTTCAAATGGTTTATTCCTATGAATGATGACACAACAGATTAATTCATTAAATATTTGTTCAGAAGAATGGAGTTTACTTTCCCAGCTAGAAAATGAGTGCATGAAAAATTAATCAAATCACTGATCAAATTAACACTCCATCAAATCAGTGATCTAACAAATTAATAGTCCATAAAATCAGTCAAGTCCATCAAATCCATAATCCAATAAATAAATAATCCGTCAGATCAATGTTAATTCAGTTTTTTTTCTCCAAAATAATATCCCAGCAAATCAAATCCATAGTCCATAAATCAATAAGCTATAAAATCAAAATCATGACCCATGAAATTAGCATACCATCATATCAGTAGTCTGCCCAATAAAAAGTCCATCAATTTATGAATCCATTGAATCAAAAATTCATTGGTTCAGTAATCTATTGAATCAATAATGAAATCAATGATCCATCAAATCAATGGTCTTGGGAATTAAATCAAAGGTCCATCAGATTGAAAGCCCATCAAGACAATAATTTATCTAATCATTAAC